CCACAAAATCCACAGACCTTACGTTGCATTGACTTAATCCTTTATCCGGGACTGACCGCCCGGCAGATCCTCTCTTCACCATTCTCCCCGACTCTCTCCCCCCTATTCTGACACGTTCTCTTCGGCCTTGCGAGCTGAGCTCGCAGACGGAGAGAGGGGGAAGGGGGAAGAGGAGCAGTTTGCCCCCGGGCATGCGGTGTGGTGCGCTCGCTGACACATGCATTCATTCATTGCACACAGTGTGGTTCCGGCACAAGTAATAAGGGTTACCTATCGATCAGCAAGCAGCGTTAGTCAGCCCATGCATGTACACAGGTGTCAGCACACATACGCACACATACATGTACACATGCATACATACACAGACCATCACAATCGGTACATCACAATTGAGGCAGACGGCACGGCGAGTGCGATGTCTCATATTGAAAGACAGACCACGCACACGAGTACGTGATGCCAGAGCTGTACAGACAGACAGACAGACAGACAGACAGACAGACAGGTGAGTGGCCACGGTGGAAAGTGGAGTGTGTGGTGGATGGCTACCTATGCATGTGGTGAGTGATCATGAGAGGGTGTCTCTCCCGTCCCGTCCCCTCCCTCCCTCCTCGCTGCATCCCTCCCTGTATCCCACCAAGTCGCCATGGATGCAAGCAAGCAATCACGCCCTCCAAAACGCGAGAGAGGCAGCACGCCATACATACGCCCTCGGCTATCCCTTCCTGGCCGCCCAGCCAGACAAAACTCGCCCGCGCAGCTTGCGGCTCTCCACCGAGAGAACGGCCAGCTGTACACTCACTGACTGACTCACCGACTGACTGACTGACTCGCTCACTCATCCATTCATTGAAGGAATGATCTCTCTTTCTCTCTCTCTCTGTCTCTGTCTCTGTGAGTGTGTGCGTGTGTGTGTTCTGTTCTGTTCTGTTCCGTCCTGTCCTTCGTCCGCCTTCGCCTCGCATAAACTCCCCAGCCGACGACAAGCGATGACAGGCGACGAAAGCTGGTCGGTGACACCGAAAAAGTCCGTCATTGCATCTCTCCCTGTCTGTCTGTCTGCCTGCCTCTCTCTCTTTCATTCATTTCTCCATCTTTCCTTCTCTTCCGCACACTGTCGTTTGCGATGACCAAGCGCGTAATGACGATGTCACATCACGCAAGACACAAATCTCTATCAATCAGGCAACGGTGGCATCAAGTGTGTCGAGCTCGTGTCTCGAGAAGAGCCGCGGCAACACGACGGCCCGAATGACCATCAACGCGCCGATCACCGAGGGGAAGAACAGCGCCGTCGACCGCACAGACCTGCACAAAGCCACGCGCACACAGAGAGAGAGGGAGATGGGTATGGTTGCCTGGCGTGACGTGTCTTTCCCGTCTCTCTCTGGCTTGGGTACTTGAGCGTGAAAAGGCCAGCGAGGCACGCGAGCTGCACGGCGGTGTATTTGATGACGACCGAGCGGGGCAGCTGGCGGAACTTGCTCTCGAAGGGCAGCAGCTCGCGGTCCGCAAAGGTGTCGCCGATCCGATACAGAAAGTCATTCCCTGCACACACACAAGTGGGTGGCATGGGACGCCGTCTGTGCTGTATCTATTCGGCGTGTTTGTTGCTGCCCACCTGTCATGACTTTCCTCCCGAGGTAGAGGAATATGCCGCTGACGACCGACATGGGGATGTTCCGCAACACCGACAGCAAACCCACACTAAACGAATCCACCGGTGCACCAGACAGACACACAAGACGACAAGATGTGCACATGTAGGCAAGGAGAGAGCATGCTTCCATCCACATGGATGCCGGCCATCCCCCTCCCTCCCTCCCTCCCTCCCTCCCTCCCCGCTCACCTGAAGAGGATGCATGCGTGTGTCATGAACCCCGTGAGTCGGTTCTCGGTCACACTGGCGATCTTCATGTCGCCGCTCTGCAGCTGCTGGGGGATCTTGTACGACCGCGGCCGCGGCACGTACACCTGGTTCAGGCCGTCTTTGGGCTCTATGTATGCCGGCGCCACAACGGCCGACACAGTGGGGGACGTGACGCCAGATGGCGTGCCGCCCCCCGGGACGCCCGGCATCTTGACCATCTTGAGGGCCGCCGAGCCCGCTGCTATGGCGGGGGGCGAAGAGGCCGGCGCTGAGGCGACCGACGATGTGCCAGTCGCAGAGGGGGAGGGAATGGGGGCGGGAGGCTCATCGGAGAGAGAGGGGGGAGGTGGGGGTGGCGGGGGAGAGGCCTCCTGCGAGGCGGATGCTGACGATGACTGGGTGCCATCGGTAGGGCCTGAGGCAGCGCTGCTGCCGCCGGTGGTGGTGGTGCTGGTGATAGTGGTGGTTGTGCTCCCATTCGGAGCACCTGGTGGTGTGTCTGTTGGTGGGACGTCGGTGCTGGTGGGCTCCTTGCTGGTGTCTTCTTTGTCAGCTGGCTTCTCCCCGTTGGGAACATACGTCGCCATCGCACGCACGTGGGCCAGGCTCTGAGATGAAAGAAATGATGAGTTAGAGAGAGAGAGGGATTGCGTTGCAGAGGGTGATTGTGTGGCTCACTGATACGTTCTGATGCCCCTTACCTGCACTGTGGCGGCGCACATCCATGGCAGGCCCAGGATGGAGAGCACACCCGTCACGGCACCGAGGGCAAACAGGTCCTGATTGTACGCCACCTGGTAGACGGACAGACACACACGGACATACAGGCAAGGAGGGAGGGAGGGAGGGAACCGCAACGCGGTTTCCACGCTTGTGCGTGTCCTCGTGTCCTGTCCTGTCTCGTGTGTGTGTGTGTGGTGCACCCACCCCCTTTTTCATTTGGTTTCTGGGCGAGTTGACCACCCGGATCGAAATGTTATGATCCAGGAAGAACAGAGCCGTCAGCAAAATGGCCGGCAGAATCGCAATCTACAACACAAGACAAGACACCGTTGCATGCATTTGTGCTGTGGCCTGCCTGCTGCTGTGCGTGTGCATCGATCGACCTACCAGTCGCAGGTAGAGCGGGACGTCGAGTATCCTGACGAGCCAGGGGCGGTTGTTGGCCAGCTGGAAGCTCAGAGGCACCTTCAGAAACTCGATGCTCCTGAGAAAGCAGAGCACTCACACACCGTTCACAGCCGTGTCACACACGGATGGCAGGCCTCCTTCCTCTCCTTGTGTTCCTGCATGGATGCCTCTGACTAACCTGAAGAGTGGCAATGTGGCAACGAGGCTCATGGAGATAATGGTGAGGACGGGACCAAAGTCGGACAGAATCGCCCGGATGTTCTTGTTGAAGAACCGCCACCGATAAGACAGAGACAGCCTGATGGATGGATGGATGAGTGGATGGATGGACAGCAGAGAGGGACAGAGGGAGAGAGGGAGGGAGGGAGGCGTGATTCCCACCCAGACCAGCAATGCGAGCGATCCATCTGACTGTCTCGCTGGCTGGCTGGCTGGCTGTCAACACACACGCTCTGACCGACCGTCTTGCAAGGAAGTATGTGGCGAGGGCCACGTTGAGTGACAGCAAGGGGCCCGTCTTGTCGAGGCCCGAACGCATGAAGTTCCCCAGCAAAGACGCCGCCGCCTCGTACACGAAGTTGCAGGCCAACAGGGCGTTGAAGACGTCGTCTGACACGGGTGCACATCACATGCATCTTTGTGTGTGCGTAGGTGTGTGTGTGCGTGGCTGGGCTGGGCTGTAGGTTCTTGGCCAGCTCAGCTCACCTACCTGTGAATTGTGTGCAGTACTTGATGAGTTCTGGCGCGCCTGCGACGGCCAGCAGCATCAGCCAGAGTGACGTCCAGAGGCCCGTCCACGAGTAGAGCGGCATGAACGGCAGAGACCACTGCCGACAAAACGCATACAGCGCTGCACACACACACACACACACACACAGATGCATATGCCCACATCTGTCTGTCTGTCTGTCTGTCTGTCTGTGTACTTGCGTGCGCGTCTGTCTGTCTACCAGTGGTGAAGGCCAGTGTGAGTCCGGTGGGTCCGATGAAAGTCATAGGCTGTCCACTGAACACCGAGTAAGCCATGCCGCCACACCCACACGCCACCAGGAACTCAGGCACCCCCATGCTGCCCCCAGTGATGCTTGCAGCAATGCCGCCGAAGGCCACAGCAGGCGCCAGACACGCGAAGTACATAAACAGCACCGCGGGGATGGACTTGGGCCGCAGGCCGTCCAGCCAGTCTGACTTGTAAAAGGGCCTCCGCCGGGCGATGTCTTGACGCAGCCCCTTGAACCAGCTGATCCGCGGAGGGATGGTGGTGTTGTGCAACAGCGACTGCAGCTCTCCCATCATCTCAGAACTGGTTGGCACGTGAGCCTTGGAGGCCGCCTCCTCCTCCTGTGTCGCATTGCCGGCAGCACTGGCCGTGGCGTTGCCGTCAGCCAGAGATGGGACCGCCAGAGTGCCGCTGGTACTGGTGCCGCTGCCGCTGCCGGCAGTGAAGCTCGCCGGCACTGCCGCGGGGTCTGGTCCAGTGGGTGCATTCATCATTGCGGTCACATCTAATCGAGGGAAGGGCGGCGGCGAGTGGTGGTCGGGTGCAAAGGGAGGAGGTGGGGCGATGACTGACTGCAACACCGACAGATGATTGTGCCGTCGTAGCAAGTGGGCAGATGGCAGCGGAGCCGATTGAGGGGCGAAGCCGACCGTCCTCCTGAGGGCAGCACTGGCAGTCAGCTTCGGTGGCTGGGACAGCCATGGTGGCGCGTCGCTGAGGCAGCCTGGCAGCAGAGCGGCGCTCGAGCAGATCATCAGGGACACACAGACAATCCTCCTCTTCTGTTTCCGTCGTCGTGGTTGGCTCCGTCTGTGTGGCGCCTGCATACTTCCTTTCCCCTTGCAGGCCGAGCTCGCTGCTGCGAGATCAGCGAAGATCTCCATTGAAAGAAGAGATGCGTCCCGTTGCCCCGGGTGCGCCTGCGCCTCGCTCGTCGAGGCGTCACCGAATGGCCTTCTGCGGCTACAGCGTCAAGTTCAGCCCTTTCGAGGCCGACCGGCTCGCCGTCGGCGCTTCGCAGTACTTCGGAATCGTCGGCAACGGACAACAACTCGTCCTTGACGTAAGCGGAGCAACGCCCGTCGTCATGAGCCACATGCATGGGTGGGATGGATGGTGGACCTTTGTGTCACCGACTTGATCCACAGATAGACCGTCCTGGTGGTCCCCGTGTGGACGACGGTCTGTTGACTGTGTGTTCCTTCTATACCAACGATGGCATCTACGACTGCGCCTGGAGCGAGGCCAACGAAAACATCGTGAGCGACGAGTGGATGAATCATCACACAGGGGATGGATGGATGGATGGGTGCAGTTGGTGTCAGCAACGGGTGACGGCTTCATCAAGATCTGGGACCTAGGTAGGCGTAGGGCCCCCCAGGAGGGCCCGGCAGGCCACGGCCAGCCTGTGGCGCAGCTGAGCGGCCACGCTAAGGAGGTGTCCTCGGTCGACTGGAACATCAACTTGCGGGTAGGTGCACATGGGCGGAGAATTGGGCGGTTGAAGAGTCTCTTGCTCATGTCATTCATGGGTGTGCATCGCATGTGTGTGCAGGAGCTGTTGGTGTCAGCGTCATGGGACTCGACGGTGCGCTTGTGGAATGTGCAGCGGGTAAGACTCATCGATGAGCAAGGGCATGGATGCGATGCGATGCACGTACCGACCGGCCGACCATCCTTTCATGGACAGGGCGAGTTGATGACCACGTGTGGAGCCCACAGGGGCGTCGCATACGCGGCAATATGGAACCCTGCACGGTAAGGCAGACAGACAGACAGACAGGCAAACCCACATATGCTCTATATATATAGCTTTTCCTCTCTCCCTCCCTCCGGGGCCCTCTGTATGTTATGTTCGTTCCATGCAATCAATCAAACAATCAATGCCAATTACTATTGGCGCCCTGGCTGTGCTGCAGGCCGGGTGTGTTTGCGTCAGTAGGTTCGGACGGTATGGTGCACATATTCGATGTGCAGGCCATCGGCAGCGGGGGTGGGGGCACGGGCACGGGCACGCCGGTGCAGGGCTTCAGGGCCCATGACACGGAGATCCTCTCAGTCGACTGGTATGGACGTTCATATCACATTTTGTGTGCCTGTGTGTGAATGAACGGAGAACAAGGAGGGCCTTGATGTCTTCATCTTGGTGGATATGTGGATGCTCTGTTTGTGTGTGTGTGTCTGCGATAGATAGGAATAAGTACAATGCCAATGAGATCATCACTGGCAGCATCGACCACACCATACGACTGTGGGTAAGGAAGGCCGTGAGAGGCTATCCACGCGGCGATTGATCAGTCATTTGTCTGTCTGCCTGTCTGTCTGTCTTTGTTTGTTTGTTTGGTGTCTGCCTGTCTGCCTGGCAGGATCTACGGGCCCTTTCGTCGAGCCAGGGCAGCCTCGGGGCCACGCCCCTGCATGTCTTCACTGGGCACAACCTGGTCGGTCGGTCGGTCGGTCGGTCGGTGGCGCAGATCTCAGTGAATCTATGCACCCGCACGTACGTATGTCTGTCTGTCTGTCTGTCTGTGTGACGTGTAAAGGCTGTCCGGCGGGTCAAATTCCATCCCTTCCACGGCAATGTCTTCGCGTCCACCTCATAGTCAGGGAGGGAGGGGGGGAGCAACAGAGGGAGGGAGGGAGGGAGGCACCTACAGACAGACACACGTGGACACATGCGCCCGCCCCGGGTTGATAATGCCTTCGTGGTGTGTGTGTATGTATGTATGTGTGTGTGTGTGTGTCAGTGACATGAGCGTGGGAGTGTGGGACACCTCGCCCCCATCGGCAGGCATGACCAGACGGTTCAACCACCACACAGGTGGGTGAATCAGACAGACAGATCAAGGGGGGAGGAGGGATGCAACGAGGCAGGCAGCACAAACCATGCATGGGTGGGTGTGGTCCGGTCCGCCGTCAGAGTTTGTCATTGGCCTCGATTGGCATCTCTTCCGCGAAAAGTGAGTGACCGACTCAGTCAGTCGCCGAGCTACTGCCCGGCCATCTGGACACGCTCTCATGCACTGCATGGCTGACATCCATGTGTCTGTATCAATTACCCTCTCTCGGGATTCCCCCTGTTCTGTCTGGTCTGTGTGCAGCGTCTTGTGCACGACAGCGTGGGACAGGACGGTGGTGGTGTGGAACTACTTGACCGACCCTCCACCCACACAGATGCCCATGGCCACTCCAGGGGCCCGCAGGCCGCCATAGTCAGCTGAGCTGGGCTGGCCACATGGGTGGTCTGTCTGCATGCCTCGAGATTGCTTGTCGTTCTTCGTGCTTTGAGACCCGAGCAATGGATTGACCGCGATTGATGCTTCCGGTTCATGGCTGAAAGATTCATTTGTCTCATTCCAATGGACCGACACTCAACGGAACAAACAACATTCGCAGAGACACCCCAGAGAAGGATACATGTAAGGAATGGCCTCTCATCCGCACCACCGATTGATCCATCACATGGGAGACACAATCACACACTTGTCCGAAGGGCGTCAGAGACATCGGCCTCAGCTGCAGGAGGGACGTGTCGATGACGTCGTTATGTTTTGTGGGTTTGTGTGTGTGTGGGTGAGTGAAGATCGCTCGTTTAACTTCCCCTCATATCAGCCATGCATCCATTTGTCTGTGTCTTCCCACCATTGTGGTTAGGTCGTGACACGTTGGATGGGTCCGTCTCGCAGACACTCAGACCCCACAAGGTGAAGGAATACCAAAACAGCGGGCGACGGAAACGCACTGGCCACACCAAGAGAAACAAAAACTAAACGGCGGGCAGACACGCAGACAGACAGTGTGTGGAAAAAAGACCGGGCAAAACAGGCCGAGACACGAAAGAAAACTGCACGAATAGATGCATTTGTGATCCAAGCAGAGGAAACCAAAGGAATCGACATACTACAGCTGCCTACGGTGCCTCCACCCCACTCAGAAGCCAATGTGGAAATTGAAGCCGCCCCCGCCCCCACGGCCCCCCTGCCAGCCGAATCCCGCCCCGGGACGGTTGAAGCCGGGCTGATTGAAGCCGAAACCAGGCTGGTTGAAGCCACCACCGAATCCGTGTCTGCACATACAAGCGCACGGGTACACAGACCTGTTCAATGTTCTTGCCTAGGTGCGCTACTGACGTACGGCTGTGGATAGTTCTGATCAGGTGCCGGCACGGCAACAAAGTGAGATGTAATACATTCCAGTATGTATTGTGTACAAACGCGCATTTTCTTTATTTCCATACCGGGTGGCCGGGGAACAAGTACGTCGTTGTGTGATGGAAGTTGTCTTCGATGGTGGCCTCGAAAACACCGCTCTGGCCCTTATCGGAGAAGCCCTTCTCAACTCTCTGCATAGAATAGAGAAAGTGGGCAGCCGAGCACACGGCGAGCAAGTGACACGACCATGTGGCTAGCTTCCTGTTTGTCCGTTGTTTACTCACAGTATTGGCAGCGAGGCAGTAAGACCCCTGTTGGCTGAGCAGTGGCATTATCTGTGTAACGCACTTGGATCTGAGGAAGGCACTCTCACATTCGCCTTCGCCGATAAAGACGTCATCAAAACTGCCGGAAAACGGCTCGCTCTTCCGCTCGATTTTCTCGACCACACATACGTCGTCTGGGCACATCCAGGATGAACACACAGCAGGTGTGTGCACGATTGAGTAATTGCATGGTTCATACTTTGATTTTTGCATTTGCCGAAGATCGCCTTGCTGTATCTCGCCCCCTGCTGGAAGCTGGTGTCATGTGACGTCGCCCCACTGAACACCACCTCGCAGTCCCCAAAACCTTCAACCACACACACACACACACGGACACACACACACACACACACAAACAGAGAGAGAGAGAGTGTTGGGGGGGCCCCGACAGACACCTCCACCTGCTTTGTTTCCGGTCTTGATAGTCTTGGCGATGCGGCCAATACGCTGATCGGCCCACTCGAGCTGTCGGTCTAAGTTGAGTATGGCGGTCTTGGTTGTGGCTATCTCTTCCTTGAGCTGGACCATCGCAGCGGATGCAACTGCACCACACACAGGCACATACACGGCCATTCCCTGAACCGCCAAGCGTCCCTGCATACCTTTGCTGGCGGTGTTTTCATTAGCGGCGCGGATCTCCTGACTACGGCCCACAAACGACGCACCTGCACACAGCGGACGGACAGGTCGAACGAACGGCCGCACACGTCCATAGATCTCACAGATAGAGAGGTCCGCCCACCGTATGTGTCGGTATTGCAGTCCTTCCCCTCGCAGTCGGAACCATGGCTTCCCTCGCCCACCAACGCCTCTGCAGCCATAGATCAGCCATCCAAATGGACAAAAGACCACCGAAAACAAAAAGAATGGGCAGACCTGCCATGGTGCATGGTCCCTTCGGTGCGCGTGTGTCCCCCCTCTGCTTACGTCGGCCATAGTTGCGCTGGGCCGCCAGCAGCGGCTGCACAGCGGCAGCGAGCCCGACCACCAGGATGATGCCGAGGCCGAAACGACGCATCACCATCATCGCCAACGGCTCAGCAAACGTCGCAGACGATGGGTCCACTCGGCGGCTGGCAGAATTCGTTGGGGATTGGAAATGGGTGTTCTTCTTCAGGGACCGTAAAACAAGCCCCCCGGGGTCCTTCCTGGCCGTGAACGCCCGCGAAGGTGTAGGAGTGTGATGTGGTTCGTCCCGCACCGACAAGATCTCCGCCACACCGCAGGCCGCTGACACGTACAGGTGCACGTGGGTTGTGCACACACACATATCCATGACACACACACACACAGGGCTGGGAGGCCGGGAAATGACTGCTGGTGGGATGGGCTGTCTGTGTACGGCGGTTGGGGGGATGGCCTTGCGTGTGTGAGAAGTGGGTATGCCGCAGGGAGGGTATCGACGGCCCCCTGGGTGGTTTTGGGGGGTGACGTGCGAACCTATGGCTTGGTAGCCATCATGACCGGGCTGGCGAGGGCTGCACACAC